AACTACTTCACAGTTAGGGCGGCTAGGAGCTGGAACCAACTTCCAAGGGAAGTGGTGCTGGCCCCTACCCTGGGGGTCTTTAAGAAGAGGCTGGATGCCTACCTGGCTGGACTCATTTGAGTCCCGTTTCTCTTTTTGGGGTTTTTTGTTGTTCTCCCGCCCTGGCGGGGGGTCGGGCTAGAAGATCTACTAGGTCCCTTCCGACCCTTAATCTATGAATCTATGAAAGAATATGCTTTAGACTGAATATCTTCAGGAGGAGCATGATTCAGTGGCTGGATGACAAACATGAGTCAGGCTGGCAGCTCTATTCCTCCACTGGGAACTCTAAAAAGTTACAGCCTGTGGAGCTATCTCCATCTGGTCTGTAGTGCTCCTAGCTACAGATTCTGGGCCCCCATCAGTGGCATGTGGGTAGCGAGGGCTATGCCAACAGAAACCGACTCTTGCTGCCTCTACTTCAGCATACAAACTTGTGGCAATAATACTGGGTATATAAGTTACCATACTGTGCGTATACATCTGTCCATGCCCTTCATGTAGGCCTGCATGGCACTGCATTGTGCTGTCTCGACCTATTTGAAGAAATCAGTCCTGCCCTCATGCTTAGAAGTTTTCCCTGGTGATGCTGGGAGCAAGTAATGGGATGGTGGGATACCCTGGGGTAGGAGTGTCTGTATGGGCTTTGTAACCAGGGCTGGTGCCTTGCTGTACTCTGGTGGTTTTCAACCTGTGGTCCACAGACCCCTGGGGGTCTACAGACTGTTTAAGGGGTCCACAAAACATGACTATGATCAATCAAAGGCATGTGAATACCCACACTTATAATTCAAAGGGGTCCACATCTCCATTCAAAAATTTTTAGGGGTCTGCAAATGGAAAAAAGGTTGAAAACCAGTGCTCTACTCTGTACATTCACCACATCCTGGTGTTCTCATCTGTATGCTTTGTTGTGGCTGCATGCCCCTTGTTTAATGTCTAATGGATTCCTTGAATCAAATCTTGAGTCTGTAGCAAAGACTAGTCCTGCTCTAGAGCCTCCTCACAGGACAGCACGTGGTGCTAATGTGGGTGAAGGGCTTTTGGCTTGTTGATCAGGCTAGGCAATACTGTTCGTTCAGGACTGTTAGCAAGTCCCATAACAAATTTGGGGCCTATTAGTCTTGGTGCTCAAGTTCATGAAAATTTTTCCCTCCACTCCCTGTTTACAGCTCAGCACAAATTACCCAGACCAGCTTCCTTATGAGAACCCAATGTCTGTGTAAGAAAACGTGGGGCCCTGCAAGGCCCTACATGTGTCTTGCTATCTCTGGTTCCCAATTGTAAGTGTTTTGGTTGGTGTCTGAACCATCAGGAGTAGGGCTGTGGGAAACAGCACTGTTCTACTTCAACAGAACAGTGTTTTGTTCAGAGTTTCATTTTGTTTAGTTTAATTTCGAAAGCACTTCATTTCGTTTAGTCAAAGCTGTTTCAACTTTTTGCCCATGGGCTATAAAGCTCAAGCTTATGGACATGAAACTTCCTATAACTTTGTCATTTCTACCCTGCTTTGGATGCAACTTGCAGGGATGGTAGTCCCTTCTGAGGGTATGAAGCCTGCCAAGTTTCAAGGAGATGGGTGCAGAGGTTTCTGGGAAACTGCACCTCAAGGTGCTGACGAGCAAAACTGTCACTTGCTGGCAGCAGCAGCCTCCTGTCATCTGGCAGACAGATCCAGGGGCCCGCACCCCCAGGAGGGCTGCAGGGTTCTGCTGGACTCCTCCCGGGAATGCAGGGGCCCCCAATCTGCCTGCTGGATCACAGGAGGCTGCCTCTGCCACCTGGGATGCTGCTGGGCGTAGCCCGCACCCAGCCCTGGGAGGATTGGTGCTGCCGCTGGCCCCAGCCAGCAGCAACAGCATGCTGTCATCCAGCATGCAGATGTGGGGGCCAGCACCCCTTGGAAGGGCTGCAAGATGTGCCAGAATCCTTGTGCAGGGAGCCTGCTGGGGAGTTCCCCCTCCTCCCTTTACTCTTTCAGCACCCTCTCCTTGCTTCTGGAGATGGTTTCTCTCCTTTTCTTGATGTAGGTCCACCGGTTCTCAGCTAACCATACCACACCAAAGCTCTGGGATTTTGCTAGGGGGCTAGGACAAAGTTCCAGTACACTGGGGAAGGGATGCTTGCATGCTAGGAACAGCTGGAGCTGGGTGCCTGAATCCTGCCTCCTGACTGGCTCTTTCCCAACAGACAGGAGGGTGATGATTGGGTGGTGCCTTCTTGGCACTGTTGTATGATACAGTTTGTGGTGCTCTGAGGAAAGCGTTGCTCTGCTATTCATCCTGTGCTTCCTCCTGCAGCAAGAGGTACTGAGCATTTGGATTTCCCATCCCCTCCCCAGGGAGCTGGGACTGGTTGTGTATCAGTCCTTGGGTAAAATTGCCAAGGTGAGTCTTCAGCAGTCTCTGCCATGTGTCTTGCAGGAGTTACGAGATAAGAATGATGAGCTGCAGATGGAGCTGGAGAAGCTGCGCTCGCAGCTGCAGGAGGACAGGCACTGCCGGTCCTGGTGCCGAATGAGGGACAGCAAGGCAGCAGGTCAGCTCCAGCCCTCTGGTAAGATAATCATGCTCCAGGCAAGGGCCAAGGTAGGGGGAAGCCCATGTCTTGCAGAACAGGTTATGGAAATCTCTCACTTGAAAATGCAAGAGCAGGGGCAGTGGGGTGCATCCTGTGGGGAAGGGCAAAATCTTCCTGCAAGGATGGGCCATGCCATACAGCAAGGACTTCATGCTTCAGCTGGTCCATGTGCTGGGAGCTCTGCACAGAGCAAGGAGAGAGAGGCAGAGATGTAGCATTCAGTTGCTTTTTTCAGTACCAGAGTCGTATTCAACATTACTCGAGCAGAGCCCCCTGCTTCTTTCTGCCCTTTGTTCTCCTAAATGAAATTAGGAGTCAGTAGTGGAGACTGGGGGTATGCTGCAGGGAGGGCAGTGCTCAACTAAGGAAGGAGGGGAGATGCACAGATGATGACAGGAAGAAGAGAAATATGTAACTGAATAGTTGAAGGGTTGCTATTGGGAATTTGTCCTTGTAGAGTTGAGACCCCACTGAGATCTGATACAGAGCTAAGAAGCTTGCCCCTCCTGGCCATTATTTCAGGCTGTTTGTGGACTCAGGCAGCCAGGACCGTGTTAGTCTTTGTCAGGCCCCATCTAAAGGCTTCTTCATAACTGAGAAAACCAAGTAAAGCCTTTGCTGGAGTGAAAACTGGACTAAATACACCAAGCATGTGACTCTATCAAATGAGTAGGCAGGCTGGCTGACTCACTCTCCCATTCCTGAGGTACTGCCGCACATCACTTGCATGTCTGTTTTCCTTGGTTACGCTGAATCATCAGAAAAACTCAACTCTGCTGCCTTCTCTTTTGCTTTTAAGATGAGATGCCAAGAGAAAAGTCCTTTCAGGAGAGCAGGCGGTTATCTGCCACAGAGAAAAATGGTAAGGAGACCAATCAGCAGTATTAAGAGTATGAGTGTGTCATATGTGGCCCATCAAAGACCAGGCTGATTGGCTTGTGACTGTCCTTGAAATGCAAAGTAAATAGATGTTACCTTGTCTCTTAATTGCCTTTCCACTCACCAAGTGAAGCCCAGCCTCTTTACACGATGTCTACAGAAGATAATAAATGTCATTGTCTGAAATGCGGGAACCTCTCTGCTATGCACTCTGTACACTGAGCAATTGATGTTCCCTGCCCCAAAGAGTTTACAAATGGAGGCTAGATGGAGCCAGCAGATGCAAGGAAGAGAAAATGGCAAAACCTGCTATCAGGATGAGTAGTGCAGTGGTTTGCTAGCTGAATGATATTTTTAAAATGCTTTTTCTTGAAGATAAGCAAAATAGAAGGGAGGGAGGGGGACAGGGCAGGGGAGAAGTGGGTAGGATGGGACGCAAACCATTACTACCTATCCCTAGCATACAATTCATGCAGTGCATTGTTTTAAATATGAGGTAAATTCCCAATCGTTCCAGAATCACTTGACATTTGGCCAGCACAGGGTGTCAGAGGTATGGTGCTGCTAGTCATTTAGTTCTTACTGGGTCACATCAAGGAGTGTGTTTCTTTTCAGGCCCTCTTTGTGTCAGTGTAGACCCCTATGCTGTGAGCATAGAAATGGAGCTCATGGTTGAGCAGCTGAAAGAGCAACTTCAGGACCTAAAAATCCAACTGGAAACCAAGGTGAGGTGGGAAGTGGGGTCCTGGCCCTGACAAATATGATGTCACTGGGGTCCTATGGATGCCACTGGGGGCCTCTATGGAGCTGTTCCCTTCCTAAACAGGTGGGGGGGGGGG